AGCAATGTTACCAATTACTGTTAGCTAGGTTAAATGAGACTGTTAGCAGGGTTAGCTAAGACTGTTAGCGAGATTACTAATTACTGTTAACTAGGTTAAATTATGTACACAGGGTCCCAGTTACATCCAACAATAAAATGTAAAAGAAAAACAGTAATAACATCTAAGATATGAACTAAGAGAAACGTCAACTAAATATACACTAAGCACTAATAGCATAAAAAACATTATTTTGAACAGCAGCACGAACATGAGCATGAGTCTGTGTGAGCAGATGGGCACTCATGAACACATCAACATGAAACAGATCAGCAGCAACATGAAACGGATACACGTCTGTGTTGCACGCTAGCTTATTGCTATGTCAGTAGCACTTTTGCTAGCGTGTCTGTATTGCACGTGGCTAGTTTAGCTTTATCGCTAGGTCAGTGCCAACTGTCGACAGGGTGGGGGGTGGGGTAGTGAAGGACATTTCATTTTGGCAGGGCGCTCAGTTCTGTTGACAGGGCGTGGCGCCCTCCTTAAATAAAGGCAGGGGAAACACTAGTGACATCACAGCATGATTTTTAGTTTAGCTTAGCATAGCACTGTTTTGTGCAAGTCGACATTTTACTGTAAGCTTTGGTGGGGGTCTTCAAAAAGTATATGTTCTGTATGCTCGTGAAAATGTTGAAAATTGTGAATGATCCCTTACATAATTGCAATAATGGCATCAAAACTAAGACTTTAGTCGTGACAGAAAACTTCAAATTTCTCCACTTATTCAGAAAAACCTCCCAATTTCTTTAAAATCTCCTCATTTTTAAGCACAAAGAGTGAAATTGTTGCATTTGGAGACTTGACAGCTGATTTTCTCCCTTGAGCTCCACATGTGTAAGCGGCTGCGCTCAAATGTTGCACCTATCATGAAGTACAGCTCATCTGCACACGACTCCTGTTTAATTCAAGCAGTCCTGATTTGGATTAGTTCAGCCCCCGCCTGTACTCGTTTCTGCACATTTATTATTTTGTCACCGTTCATAAAGATCTGTGCCTTCTTGTCCCGTAAAATTCCCTTCGCTGCTCTGAGTGGACGAACGGAGGAGTGATGGAGAGACGAGCATGAAGCGTTGGCTTGAAGGAGGCTTGCTGCTTAATTATGTAACGGCGCCTGCTGAGAGAGGGCTGAGCTGAGAATTATTCATCATGTGAGATGTTTGTTCATCGAGTCTCTCAGAAACGTCCGTCAGATGTTTCCGCCTTGGATTTGTCACTTTCTGTTGAGTCGAAAGAAATAAAGAAGCTCAGTCGGTCTGAACCAGCGTCCATGTCAGGTTTTTTATGAATTATTCACTTTAAAAAAGTCTGATTCTCGTCCTTTCATCCTCAGCTGAAATCCTTCCATGTTTCCTGTCCTCAAACAATAAGTTTCTGTCTTGCGGCTCTAATCCCGGCTGGATGATGTCTTTGTCAAACAGCCAAGGATTATTTCAGATTTAGTGTTTGTCTAATGGTCAGATGTGTGACGACTGTGTCAAAGTCAGTAAGTTAATGGGAGTTCTTTTGTTTGCTAATAAAACAGTAAATCCAGAACAAACTCTGTCGGCTTCAGATTATAATCTTTATAAATTTGCGGAGGCTGATTTTCAGAAAGAACTGTGGTTTCTGTACTTTCAGATTAGGTTCCAGTCTCTCTACAATCTGTTCTTTTTATAAAATGTTACAAAAGATGTTTAAAAATGTTAAAATTTGCAGTTTTGTAACAGTTTTGTCAATTATTGGACAGGTTTTTTTAAGCGAGTGTTCGAGTAAACAGATTATCAGTACCTTTTAAACACAACTCATACTTGTATTTACTCGATTACTTAAAGGGATAGTTCTGATTATTTGAAGTGGACTTCTGTGGAAATGTTAGAAACAAATATCTTGTAAAAATCTCGTTAAAGGAGTTCAGTTTTGGAGTTTGATTCTAACTGAACCTGAAAGTTTCCCAGAGTCTTTATATTATTTTACTTTATTTACAAATATTTTCCCACAGAAAATTCCAGAGATCGTTTCAGTTTTTTCTAATTTTTGTTTGTTGTATTTTTGTCTTCTTTTGTCACTGTTAGCTTGTAGTTAGCTTTTTGTTACTTTAAACTTCTAGCTAGCTCTCCAAAAAAGTTCAGTCAAGTCATCTGGACGGTTTCTTTTATTTTGTTGAGCCGTTTCGTTCTTCATCCAAAGGACTTCATCAGTCTGAGGAGCCACCACAAGTGGTCGAGGGGGAGAGGGTGGGCTCCAGCAACCATCTTATCACCAGCAAACCGGTTTGCCCACTATGTGGGTTCGCTGCTTGTGGGACTGGGTTTGTTTGTGGCTCCTCAGACTGACGAAGTCCTTTGGATGAAGAACGAAACGTCTCAACGACAAAGAAATAAAACGTCCATATACGTTGGATTTTTTTACCTGGATAACTGAGCATGAACTTTGATGGTTTAGCTAGCTCTTTGACAATTAAAGCAAATATTTTATTATTTTTATCATCTAGCTAGTAGTTTTAGATTTTAGTTAGCTTTTTGCTACTTTTAACGTCTAGCTAGACTTTAGCTTTTTTAGCTTATAGTTCTTTGATCATTTTAGCTAGCATGAAGCTGCTTTTTACTTGAGTTTAGTTTTTTGCTGCTTGTAGCTTTGAGCTAACATTTTGAGTACTTTTGGTTTATATTTTGCACATTTCTACTTTTACAGTAAACATTTAGCTACTTTTAGCTTCTATCTTTCTGCCACTATCAGACGTTAAAAAGACATTTGTTGCTTTTGGCTACTGTTATGCTACTTTTAACTAACTTTCTACTACTTTTAGCCTTTAGCTATTTTGATTCTTTCAGCCTAAAGCTAGCATTTTGCTTTTTTACTTTTAGCTTTTTTTTTTTTTACTTTTACAAAACTTTCTGTTACGTTTGGCTTTTAGCTAACATTTAGCAACCTTAGCTATTATCTAGCACTTTGTTTTAGCATTTAGCTGATGTTTTATTTCTTTTAGCGTTACCTAATCAGTTTTAGCTTCAAATGCTTCAGAACAAATGTCCGGAATCATTCAGCCTCAACAATAACTGCATTATTTCAGAGGTTTTTTTTAGTTTGTTTGTTTGTTTGCTTGGTCTTTAAATGTTGCTTCACAAGTTAAAAACTAACCTAAGGATAAAAACACGCCGGTAGTCGCTCTTTCAAACAACATTTAACATCTACTCCTTTTGTTTTCTGATGCGGCTCAGTGTTTCAGGCCTTTTCTCCTTTAACTCACCTTCTAGCGCTCAGACTTCTCAGGTAAATTAGTCGGTAAATCCCGACATCATCAGAAATAATAAGCTGATGACAGATTCGAGCTTGTTTGGAGCGCAGCACCTGCACTCGTTGATTCCTTCACTTCTCCAGAACTCGAGCTTTAAACAGAGTCACACTTGGCACAAAACAATCACTCACTTTTATTTTTTAAAAAGCTTGAGTCTTGTGAGGAAAAATGAAGAGTATCAGAGTTAAATCCATTACGTAACCGCGACCCACGGCTGTCTCCTGGTTTTATTCATGACTGTAATCCTGGTGGCAGATCAGATCCCTCATGCAAACATAAACAAAAGGTTATCCACACTGCCAGCCATTAGAGACAACTTTAACTGCTCTGTAAACATTTCTCTTTACATTTCAAATGTATTTATTTTAAATATTTATTGCAAGATTTTATTGTTATTAATATTGCTATTAATATTTTAATTTTCCACCTTTCAAACCTAAAGGAATCCATTCTGCATAGTTTATTTTTTTGTCCCCCATCACGGAGTGAAAAGGGGGAATTAAGAATACTCTCCGTCCGTCTGTGAATGTT